TGCTGCTGTGGTCTCTGTGGAGAAGATGCAGGCCTTCCTCGAGAATGGCTGATTGAGAGAGAGAGAGAGAGAGAGAGAGAGGAAATGGCTGAGATTAGAAAGAGAGAGGGAGAGGGAGGGAGTGAGGCAGGGAGAGAGAGGGGTAAGGGAGGGGGTGGTGGTGGAGTAAAAGATTACATACTCCCTTGAGCTAATTTTTGCAACATTAATTCATGGGCCAAAACTCATAAAACAAACTATCAACATGACCCAAAAGTTTTTGTAAGACGATCCATATTTCGAATTTTTGTCCCTTCTTGTCTTTTCACTCATTCATCTCAACATCTTCATCTCAACTACACTCACTCTATGGGTATGCGGTTTCTTGACTGCCAATATTCTACCGCATAAATCAAAAATGGTCTCACAACTGTCCAATAGAACTGCCTTCAGCTTCATTGGTATGCGGCAATCACATAAAACTCCGTTTGCACATCTCCACTTCGTCTATCCAGCTCTAATTCTATGTGCAATATCTTCCTCAATCTCTTCATTTTCCTGGATTATCGAACCAAGATATCAAAAGTATAATCTTTTTGGTAATTTTTTACCGTTAATATTAACTACTTCCTCATCTCTACTACTATAATTACTAAACTTTCATTCCATACAATTTGTCTTAGTCCAGCTAATTTTAAAGCATTTAGATTCTAGAACATTCCTCCAAAGTTCTAACTTTGTGTTGACGCCATTTAAGGTTTCTTCTATCAAAACTATGTCACCCACGAACAACATGTACCACGGTACCTCATCTTTTTTGTGCCTAGTTAAGTTGTCCATAACTAAGACAAAGAGGTATATGAGAGTGTAAAAAAACCAAATTACATAGACTTGCACTTGGGCAATGAGACAATACAAGTGAATACAACTCAAAATTCTTGTACAATACACCACAAATGAGCTTACAACCTTCAATTACAATAGCATAACTGTGATTACAGTAGACAAATGACTGAGTATACACTCAAAAATAGGAGGAGACAACTCAATTAGGGTCCCATGAGCAACATTAAACACAACTACACATAGATATCAACGAACTAGACAAGTATGAGGTGATTTTAAAACTTCTACACCATTGAATTTTATTGCAAATTTATATATCAAATGACTTCACAAAACTCGAGGAAACATGATCACCATTATTACAATACATAAATGCTCAAATGAATTATGCAATGCAGCATGCCCATGGGAAGCCAATCGCAGTTCTCGGGTGCCCAGTTCACGGCCCTAGGCCATAGCTATGTGCCATAAAGTGACATCTGATGGCATATCTCAAAATTCAGCCAAATTCATCATGTCAAGAGTGGGAAGCTAATCATCTACTGATATACACTAGAAACATGGAAGAATTTGCAGAGATCAAATAAACAAAAACATAAGTGGAGCTCGTAGGAGAAATCTTGAGATTAGATCACAAAACAGTCTCAAGAGTTCACAAAACCGTGCCATAGAAATTCGTTATAGTCTCCTCTCATAAAATCAAGAATTTTATCTATCAAAAATGCTATTCAATTGACTGATTTTGAGGTGAAAAACTCAGAAATAGCAGTCAATTATCCTCTAAAAATCTCAAAGAAAAGGTCATGGAAACTAGATCAATTTATGCACGGATGATCCCTTCAACTATATGGACTAAATTTGATCAAGAATTCATGAATCAATAATCAAATGGATAATGGAACCTTGCTGTAATTAGGAAGCAAGAAGGAAAGACTAAAATCAATAGCAAATAATAAGATCTTACTCAATTGATGGCCTTCAAAACTAGATCATCCATGGCTTTGATTAAGCTTGAATTCATCATCAATGGAGCTTTCTCTCACTTGAATTGAACACACACTTTTGATCTTATGGAGGAGAGAGAAAGGAAGAGGAATAGCTTTGGGTGTGCCACACAAGTGTGACCAAAGAGAGAGTGGTGTGCCACTTAGAGAGAGAGAGAGAGAGATTGAAACCATAGTTGTTGGCAACACTAGGAAACCCGAATCGTTTCAGGAACTGGAATCGCAGAATTGTGGCCGACTACAAGATTCTTATCTTAGGTATCGTTGCCATACAATAGGAATCGCTAGGAACGAGATTCCTAGTTTTTAAAAATCGTATTTCAATCGAAATAGATCCAAGTTCCATCCACATATGGAATCGAGATTTCGTCCTCCTTATAATAGAGATTCGCAACCCCTTGGAATCAACACTTCAGGAGCCAAGATTCATTAATATGAGGAATTGAGTTTCTAACACATAAGGAATTGAGATATGTTGTTATTTCAAATCGTGATTCTAACATATTTGGAATCAAGTTTTTGAAGTATATGGATCAGAGATCCATGCCAGTTTGAGATCGAGATTTACAATAATATGGAACATGGAAGGCTTTTGACGACTCCTACCAGGAATCGAGATTATATTTTTATGGAGAAGGAAGCCACAAGCACATCTTGAGCCCCATCAACTTTAGAACCTATATTGGATGTTTTTTATTAGAAGGCTTCCCAAATTTTAAAGTGATCGTGTTGATTATTGAACTTGCGGTCATTATATACAAAATACAAGTATTTCTAAATGGGTGCAGTTTGTATAAAGCCTAGGCTCTAAATAATCGAATTAGAGCCTACCTTCAAATAGTGTCGAGAAATGTGGTTTATACACAGGAAATCTTTGTGATAGCCTTAAAATATATTTTCATCGTTATTTATAAAGTTTAAAGCTTCAAAAAGTGTAGATCAATATATCAATGAAAACTTCAAAATCTTGAAAATTGATGATCCAAAAATTCATTACAAAATACACTATTTTCAAATCTTGAAATCCATTTTTTGTCTCATGTCCATGCATCTTGATGTCGAGATGATCAATTTGAGGATATTTGGGTATCAAAACAATCTCTTTTAGTGAAGTTTTTGAGGTAGGATCTAACTTGACTGTTTAGAGCCTCGGCTCTATATAAACTTTTCCCTTTCTAAATTGTGATTTTGACTTCATTATTATAAAGACAAAATAGGATTATGTCTATGCCATGGTTTTACTTTAAATTGTATGTGTTGTATTTACTAGTTATATTTTAAATTTAAAGTAAAGGCCTTCCATGGTGGCACAAGTAAAATAATGAAACCCTGAAACCATTAGAAGCATTCGAAGGAAGATTTCTACTCCAATTGACGTGGAATCAAGATTTAATCCTTGCTGGAATCCAAATTTGATATATTTGGGAATGTCTACCCACAATTAATGGGTTCAAGTATTTAAAGATGCGTAGGATCGAAAATCTGAAATTAAGGAATCGAATTTCCTTGGTTCCAATAGATGGTTTCTAAAGATGTATTGAAACGAGATTTTAAAATTAAGGAATCGAGTTTCTTTGGTTTCGAAACAGTTTCCGTAGAGATTCCTAACGAAAATGCGGAATCGAATTTCGGAACAAGAAACGCGAGGTCGATGGAGAGATTCCGGTAACTATGGATTGAACTCAAGTGAATGAAATGCATGGCTTAAGATGTGTGGTATGGATTTAAGCATCATTATCTTTTTTTAATAACCACAATTTACTCCAGTTTCTCTCATATTAAAATACCCATGCTCTTTTCATATAATTGAACTTAAAACCAAGCTAGAGGGCAATACCCTTGAGCTAATTAGACAACTTCTAGCAAAAATCAAATTTGAAACTTCCCTCCACTTTTTAAGAGCAAGAGGGGCTAATCAAATCACGCAATATAAGCTAGTTGGTTAAGTGTACAATTTCCAAATACCTTTAGGATTTAAGTTGAAATATCAAACCCTATGTCCCTTCTAGAAGACTCACACATGTGCACAAAGCACTTACTTTTCACATTTAACATGTGCTCAAACTAATTTTCTAATTTTCCAAAATATCACAAAATAACACATTTAAATGCCCCTTAACATTAAATAACAAATACACAAAGGACAAGGGGGTCTCCATGGGGGGTTGATGTCACCCCCACATCACCTCCACGCAGGGCTGATGTGGGACCCCCGTGGCACCACGTGCACACCTATAGGCCATTTGGGTGTTTCATAGGAGGATTGTTCGTCATTTTGCAAAAATAATTCCAAAAAGCTCATTTTCTTGTTAAACAAAATTCCCAAAATCCAAAAAAATCATTTTCCATCAATATAAAACGCTTCAACACTATTTAAAACATTTCCAAGGGAAATTAGGCTCCTATGGAGTTGAATTAGGAATCAAAGCACTCCACTCAACTAAACCTGGAATCCGAAGCCACCTTCTCGATGTGACCCAACAAACTCGTCACCTACAGTGTATAATCAGGGGCTCATAATGTGATTTATCAAAGTCAAACCAATGAGCGTGAATCACCAAGTACTGTGGATTCCAGGTGCACCCCCTAGAGGAAATGCACACACATGGTGCAGGGGTTCTTCTCTTGGTAGGTGCATACCTCTCACCAATGTATCCCTGGAAGAGCGCCTTTCCATGCATTGTGATTGTTTGTGCACATGCTACAAGAAGGTTCTAAGAGTCAGAGATTTAGGCCAATGTCGTTTGATCGACTCCAACCTTTCCATACAAGGTTGTTTTGTCATTGAGCTTATATCATCAATCATATAAATCACATTGCCTTGGCCCATCACACAATCATGAGGCTCAATCGTAACAACCGACCTTGACAAAGAAGTAAGCTGCAACCCATACAAATCCTCCTCATAACTCACTCGGGGTTCTATGACTCTTGGTCCCATGCCAAGATCCTAGAGTCATGTTGCTCTAATACTCCCACTAAAGTTAAGAGCTATTCAAATGTCAGAATTTGAAGGCCTTGAAAAGACATAATTCCAACAATATGGGCTCAATGCTGACCCCTGATAT